AATAATTTAAAAAATATTTTTCCTATTTTTTTTATTATCTTATTATAAGGAGGGTTAAACTATATTATGTTTTTCTTTTGTTTTTGTGTGTAGTGTTTTAATTATATATTCTAATTTAATCGAGTAACCACTTTTTCTTAATTATGATTCATATATTTTTTATTTGAATTAAATATTTTCATATAGCTAGAATTAGTTGTAATTCTTTTGTTAATAGATATTGGTATATGTTTAACTATATGAGGAGTGTGATTTGAATTTTTGTTTATATATATTGGATTATTATTTGCTTTCTTATATTGTATGTATTATTATTTAAATTAAATGTTATGTCTAGAAAATTTCATATTTTTAGGTTAGATTTTATGTCTATTTTAAATCCTGAATTATTAAATACCAGCAGTAGAGCCCGGCGTTGCCCCGGGATGTAACAGTGAGAGATAGATCAGGTATCGACCATCATAAAGACTGAAAAATAAAATTGACAAAGATTATTGTTTAAGGTTGATGGACACGCATGTCTTAATTAGTTTTTTTTTGTTTTTTTTACGAATTGGTCAAACCCAAACTCAAACAAAAACATTGTTTTCAATCGTTATGAGTCTACCGGTTGAATAGAATTTTATCATAAACAATTGTCTTGTAAATGGAATTATTAAAGCGTTCTGAATGTAAAAATAAAGAAAAAAGTGTGCAAGACAATAAGAAGCACTACCTGCCAAAAAAAAGTGAAGTTTTGTTGAAATTGGTTGAAAAATGTACGAAATCCGATCCCATATATAAACGAACACACACACACTCACACACAAACAACCTGGGTTTTTTAATAAGTATAACTCGATATGAGTTGTCCCGCTTTCATTCTCGCGATAGCGATGCCTCTTAATCGTGTTTTCAAATTGATTTCGTGCAAAAACAATTGGGTTTTTCCAATTTGGGGCGCTGTCAGAACCACCGCAAGGTAATTTTACGTAGTCGTGTGAAGTTTTGTGGAAATCGGTTGAAAAATGTAGGAAATCCGATCCAATATATAAACGTACAGACACACACACACACACAACCTGGGTTTTATAAGTATGATTTCTATTATTTATTTGTTATCAACACGTCTCGTCCGACTTTATGTAGGCAGAGGGAGCTGAAACATGAATTGGCTTCACTGAGCCTTTGTCTTGTTCTGGGCAACATTACATTTTTTCCTTCCCTCTCCATGTCTCTTTTAATTCTATTGCAAGGAGATTTGTTTCCCTTCGGCAGTTTTTCTAAATTCCGACAATTTTTCGTTGGACGAAAGGTAACTTAAGATTTCTATTTTTAATCGAGACGATACTTTTGTATCCGACTTTATGATTAATGAAATGTTCCCTGTTTTAAGAATACTATTTAGATTCTGTGGCACCAAAAATCATTTTAAACACACACACACACACACACATATACACATACACACACACACGTGCGCGCGCATATATATATATATATATATATATATATATATATAGATATATATATATATATATAGTGTTGTGACCAAGTAAATGGTTATGTAATAACAAAAACCAGGTTCACAGATATATCGTATATTAAACAGTAAGTAAACCAGAAGAGTATTACACGACTAGTAAGAGTGTATCGAATGAACTAGCGCTCAATCTATTCACTGTTAATATTTAACAGAAACGAGGGATGTATGTGGCACAAGGCCGAGTTTACCGTGGGTTCTCCGAGCCCGTAGGCTCGGCCAAAAATATTCCCTTAGAAGCCGCATAAACGCGTTTAGGGCCTGTCTACTTCCCGGACGAAACTTTGCCCTGCGGTACACCCTCGTCCAGGTTCCTTTCTGCTGAGGCAGAGCGTTCGACAGTTGAACAATCTATGAGACTGTTAATATTTAACCGCCCCCGCGAGGGTGTATGTGACACAAGGCCGTAGGTTCGGCCCAAAATATTCCCTTTGAACCTGTATAAATAGGTTCAGGGCCTGTCTACCTCCCCGGACGAAACTTCGCTCTGCGACAAAGCTTCGTCCGGGTTCCTATCCGCCGAGGAAGAGAGTTCGACAGCAATGAACAATCTATGCGACTGTTATATTTAACAGTCCCCCCTCAAGGAATGTATGTGACACAAGGCCGAGTTTAACGTGGGTTTCTAAACGGGTTCAGGGACTGTGTACCTCACCGGACGAAACGTTGACCTGCGGCAAAGCTTCGTCCGAGTTCCTCTCTACCGAGGCAGAGAGTTCAACAGTTGAATAATCTATGCGACTGTTATATTTAACAGCCCAAATTTAACGTGGGTTTCCCGAGCCCGTAGGCTCGGCTAAAAATATTCCCTTAGAAGCCGCATAAACGGGTTCAGGGCCTGTCTACCTCCCCGGACGAAACTTTGCTCTTCGTCAAAGCGTCGTCCGAGTTCCTCTCTACCGAGGCAGAGAGTTTGGCAGTTGAACAATCTGTGCGACTGTTCCCCGAAGCCTTCTGTCCTACTAATCTTATAATAGGCGGAAAATTCTAAGATAGACTCTTTAGAGGAGGACACCATTATATATATATATATATATATATATATATATATATATATATATATATATATATAGGTAGTAGCATTAATTTTCTATAACAGAAGAATGTTAGGAAAATAAATGACAAAGTGGAAAATGTATTTTTTTTTTTTTTTATTGGACTAAAGTGGTGTGACTACACATGCAACCATTAAATTTCCGCCCTACATTCCACCATCCTTGGCAGATTTTCTAATATCATAATGTCGGTTACTTAATAACAAAACTCATAAACATGTATTTAAAAAAAAATTAATTAAAAAGTTAGAGTTCATCGTCCCCACTCCTCCATGTGCATGTGTAGTCAAAATATTGTAAAATTTATTTTAGCCTGGTGAAGTCTTAAAGGAGGCACACACACGCACACACACACACACACATACATACATAATCTATCTATCTATCTATCTATCTATCTATCTATCTATCTATATTTCTCATGTTGTCTGTCTGTCGTGGGCGTTGTTACCTCGCCCAGGCCGCATTTCTCACCCGATTTCGATGAGGTTTTCACCACAAGTTTGTAAATGGCTGCCGTAAGGACATGACGGAGGCCGATTTTTGAGTTCGGACTCAGGTTCCGAAAAAATCGATAATCGAAAAAATCGATAATCGAAAAAAATCGAAAAATCTGCTTACAGAAGGAATGATCGCATTTCAACCAAATTTGACACCCTCTTAAAGTCTACCATTAGAAGTGTTGTCCAGAAGTTTCATGACCCTAAACAGCGCGGAAAATCGATAAAACCCCAAAACCCATACGCCCAGATTGCGATTGAACCCCATGTCGGTTTTTAGCGAAAACCGACCGGATTTATGAGGAGGCCATTGGGAGTCACCATGTGAAGTTTCAACTCTGCACGCCCCCCAAACAGAGTGCAAATCGACAATCGGTCAACCCTTAAAAATGTTTTTCCGGTTGGGTATTTCCTAAATGCAGATTAATTTAAGGTCACGCTATGCGCGGGAAGAAACAGGTCAGTGCGTGCAGTGGAGTGGAAGAAAAGATTTGACCTCAAATTCTGAAATGGGTGCAGGGCCATTGAAGTTCAGCTTTTTTTAAACCTGCTACCAGGTCTGACTTTGAGCCACAAATGACATATTCGACTTTGTCAACACTTTTGCTTTAATCGTCGCATCTTACCAAAATAAGCACTTCTTTATTCGCGTCTTTACTAAAAAAAAACCGCATACGTGCTGAGTGAAAATGGTTCCGCCCTCAACAGTCCCTTTTCCAATTCTTTAAACCTTTTCCCCTAGCCCAGGCCGCATCCCAGATCTGACGAGGAGTTTTTGCGCTAAAGCAACAGGGTTTCCTTCCAATCCATTTCAAATTTAATGCCGGCAAACGGTTAACAGCTTTTCGTTGTCGCACAAACCAAACGAGCAAACGCTTCATTGCAGCTCCTTGCATTCTTATCGCCGGCATCACGTGCTTTAGAGCCAAGATGCATATGCAGCAGGTAGCTTGACCCCGTTTACCGCCAAGCCCTGCGCTTGCCAAATCATGCGCGCGTGCGTGAATGTGCGCTAACATCTTGGTCTAAGTCATAGCCATTGTCCAGTCTACACCAATCAATGACAAGTCACCCTCCCTTTAAATACCTTCAGCGCATCCGCACTCACGTTTTGATTTGATCGCCATCAAGGCATCTGTCCTTGGATTAATTGACAGCTTCCTGCTACCGCAAGTTATCTATTTGCTTAAACGTTTGCATTTACCCATTTTATCTCCGCGTGCTGCCTCTACTGCGCAGCCCAGTCTATCTTAGCGTCCCATACCTATTTCTACCTCTTCGTAGTTCAGTTTTGCTATTAGACACTTAACTGCTGTCGCAAGTTACTTCTCTTCTGCCTTTACTACGCGGCTCAGTACACCTCAGTGTTTCACTACTTTTCAACGTTTTGGTTGCGTAACCTCTTCCTACAGCGACGTTTTCGTGCTGCCAGAAAGCACGGCCCATAGCTAGGAGAAGCTTTTTCCATACCGCTCCACTGCATTTTTAGTTTTCGTATACAACGAGGTTGCACCGCTTCAGCTTCGGCATCAACTTCTATTCGCATTCTTACACAGCATTTCTACAACCCTTCAAATGGCTCCTACACGACGAACATCCGCACGTCAGCAACTGAAGACCCCTAATACCGTTAACGTTCACATGCAGAACAGGAGCACATAATAACTCCGGTTACAGATGATCATATAGCGTCTACTTCAACCTCTGCTTTGCACTCTTCTGCGTGCCATGGCGATGACCAACCCGGCAGCTCTGCAAAGGCTGCAAAAACACCCAGGCGAGGCAACCTTAGCAGGCGTTCTAAAAAAGCCTCACCGGCTAAGGGGGAACGGGAGCAGGATTCCATTGAGTGCGCCTACTTGGGGGAGAAGCGGCTGGAGTCAACTTTAACCTCTGCTTTGCACTCTTCTGAGTGCCGTGGCGATGACCGACCCGGCAGCTTTGTTAAGCGTGCCAAAATACCATGGCGAGGCAACATTAGCAGGCGTTCTAAAAGAGCATCTGCGGCAAAGAGAAAGCGGGAGGAGGAAACCGAGGTAAAGGCCTCTTTAAGGCTTTCCAGTCAATCTCAACGGAGGCAGAATGTTTTGTCGCATGAAACGCTTGGTGAGCGTAACTACCATTTGTACTGCAAATCAGTTTACACATATTCGTTGAAAAGTAAGAGGAAACTACCTAAACGCTTGCAAGACAACAAAAAAGCGGCTTCATCGCAAGCGCTTTTGCGGTCTCGACAGAGCCCGCATTGAAAAGCTACTCGCAATGCAGCCGAGGCCGCTGCAACTTCCATTTACCGGTCCCAGGCAACCACAACTGAGAAAACCGCACGTAACGCAGCGAAACCTGCGGCAACGTACATTCGTTGGTCCCAGGAACCCATATCTGAGAAAAGCCGACACCAAGTTCCGTACAAAAGCGCATAAGGCGGGAACGCGATGCAATTTCAACTTCCTCTGCTAGAGCTGTAGAAGGACCTACTGTAAGGCTTGAAAGGTTGCAGACTGTTAACCAGCGCCGCAGTTTTGAGGCTTTCCGGTCGCAAAGACCTCGAAATAGGATCCATGTCTGTCTGTATTGCAATGCCAAAAAATGGCCTGGAGAGTCTGCAGGTTTGTGTTGTTCAGACGGTAAGGTACAGTTGCCACCTTTTCAAGAACTACCTGCTTCGTTGAAAGCTCTCTTGGAGGGTTCCAGTCCAGACTCCAAACATTTCCTTGCAAAAATCAGACAGTACAATTCTGCCTTCCAGATGACCTCTTTTGGTGGTAATGCCTTCCGCGAAGTCGGTTGGAATCCCACCTTCAAAGTTCAAGGTCAGGTTTACTACCGGATTGGGCCTCTTTTGCCGGAAACTGCCACTGATTCGGCCTTTCTACAAATATACTTCATAGCTGACTACAATCAGCAGGCAGATGCCCGTATGTGCATTATTCCCGAGAACGATACAGGCCAGGACAATCATCCTCGCAGGGATATCATAATGAGTCTCCAACAAATGCTCCACGAGACAAACAGCTATGTCTGCAGTTTAAGTAAGCTCTCGAAAATAACACTTCTTCTGATTTCATTATTGTAATTGATGCTGACAAACGGCCTCAGGGAGAGCACGAACGTCGTTACAATGCTCCCGCAAGTAATAAAGTTTCCGTCATTGTCAGCGGTGATCAGCACAACAGACGTGACATTGTTATCGAATCACGTGGCAGTGGGCTCCGAAGAATCAGTGAAACGCACCGGTCCTACGATGCACTGCAATACCCACTTCTCTTCCCTTACGGAGAAGATGGGTACCACTTTGGCATTCTGCAAAATGGGTCCACCTTAAAAACAGTGTCTTGCAGGGCTTTCTACGCCTACCTATTGATGGTACATGAGGGTGCATTCAGTCATCTTCATCGAAGCCGGCAATTTTTCCATCAATTCATAGTAGACATGGCTGCTATGATGGAATCCGAAAAACTCTGTTACATCAAAGTGAATCAGACAAAGTTGCGCTGCTACTCTTACATTCACCTCCGTGATGCTTTACGAAATGACGCTGATCCACGCAATATGGGCAAGATGTGCATACTACCTGCAACGTTCACAGGCAGTCCACGATACATGCACGCGAGGACTCAAGACGCGATGACATACGTTCGTAAGTACGGCCGACCAGACCTATTCATAACTTTCACGTGTAACCCAAAATGGTACGCAATTGCTAAAGAACTTATGCCGGGGCAATCGGACTACGACCGTCCAGACCTCATTGCGCGCGTTTACCATCTGAAGTTGGGAAAGCTAATGCATGTGATTACAAAGGGACAGGTTTTGGGGGCTGTTTGCACACTATTGAGTGGCAGAAAGGCGGCCTGCCTCACGCACATATATTGATTTGTCTGTGCGACAAGATTGAGGCCACAGAAACCGATCATCTTATTTCTGCTGTAATTCCTGATCCGTTGGCTGACCCTGAATTATACGAAATAGTGACAACCAACATGATTCATGGTCCCTGCGGGTCGCATTGCAATTACACCAGCTTTCACAACAGCGACGGAAAATGCACCCGGCAGTATCCACAAGATTTCTTGGGCGAAACCATTACAGGGAGCGATGGTTATCCACTGTACCGGCGAAGAAGTCCCGCTGAAGGAGGATTTACAGGCGTGGTAAAGGGCCACCAAGTGGATAACAAATGGGTAGTGTCATACTGTCCCCTGCTAACAAAAGCGTTAAATGCGCACATCAATGTCGAATATTGCCATTCAGTTCGCTCCATCAAGTATGTATGCAAGTACATCAAACAAAGGGACTGATGCTGCAATGTTTGGTATTAGGCAGGAAGGTTCCGTAGACGAAATCCAGGACTTCCTTGCAGGGCGCGTCATTAGCAGAACAGAGGGCCCTTGGCACATATTCAGCTTCCCCATCCACGAACGCTTCCCAGCAATTGTCCAGCTTGCTGTGCACCTAGAAAACGACGAACTTCGTTATTTATCTGCGGATACAGCAATGGATGTGGCTGCGCGTACCAAAGACACAGCGGTTACAGCATTCTTCAAACTTTGTCGACAGGACGAATTTGCTAGGACTCTACTGTACCCAGACGTGCCTTCATACTACGTGTGGACAGCTGGGCTCGGCGGAAGTGCGAGGCCAACGTCGAGGTCTATCCAGGCGTCAAAAAAGACGCCACACTCGGAAGGGTATTCACAGTTCCCCCATCGCGACAGGAATGTTTTTGCTTGTGACTCCTTTTGCACGAAGTTAGTGGTCCAACCAGCTACAATAACTTACGGGCGGTTAATGGAGTTTTATGGGACACTTTTTGTGAGACCTGCCTCCATCTCGGCCTTTTGGAAGACGACAGCCAGTGGGATGCCACAATGGCTGAGGGAGCTCTTTTAAAAATGCCCTCGGCTCTTCACCACAATCTTACAAATGTGCGAACCCAGTGATCCCAAATAACTTTGGGACAAATACAAGGACTTTTTGTCCGAAGACATACTCAGAGAAGCACAATTGCTGTGTCCAACAATGTCTCTTACATTCAACGATGAAATTTACAACAGGGCGCTAATAATCATTGAGAACCTGTTTGTTGAAATGGGTGGGGGTCTCTCGCCGCTATTGGGCTTCCAATGCCAGATCGTATGGCTTCCTCCAGTCTCTCACCTGAGATTGTGCGGGAGACATCCTACTCTGTTGAGGAGCCCAACGCCTATGTCACAACAAATGAGCCAAAACTTCTCATAGACCACGAGGCAGGATACAGGATCAATTTTCTTCCTGGACGCGCCTAGGGGAACGGGAAAAACGTTCGTAATAAAACTGCTTCTTGCAGAAATTTGGTGCCATAGCGAAGTAGCGCTAGCAGTAGCGTCCTCAGACATTGCTGCCACATTACTACCGGGTGGCCGAAAAGTGCACTCAACGTTTAAACTTCCGCTTGACCTGATTAAGGCAGACACAGCTGTATTCAGTATAGCCAAGCAATCAGGTCTAGCGGAGGTAATCAGGCGATGTAAGCTCATCGTCTGGGATGAGTGTACTGGCAGTCACAAAACTGCACTCGAGGCTGTAAACCGCTCTCTGAAGGATATTCGAAACTCCGATGACCTTATGGGAGGTATAACTGTCCTTCTATCCGGTGACTTTCGCCAGACCCTCCCCGTTGCACCTAAGGGGACAAGGGCCGACGCTATTCGAGCGTGCTTGAAATCGTCACAGCTTTGGCCCACTGTTAGACCATTGCACCTTACCACCAACATGCGTGCACACCTAACTGGAGACGTTGGGTCCGCCGAATTTTCGAATTCATTATTAGCCCTTGGCAAAGGTATTATTCCGGCGGAAACTAATGGATTTGTAAATGGATCCCGGTTATGTTGCTTAGAAACCTGCGTCCACCGAAACTCTGTAATGGGACCTGGATGGTTATTCAGGCCCTACACTCAAACATTATTGAGGCCAAAATTATAGCTGGCTGCGGTAAAGGGGAGCAAGTGCTTATCCCAAGGATGCATTTGTATCCATCAGATGCCGACGTACCCTTCACTTTCAGAAGATCCCAATTCCCAGTATCGCCCTGTTTTACTATGACAATTAATAAGGCCCAAGGACAACGCTGTCTGTCACTGGTGTACGCTTAGAGGAGCAGTGTTTCTCACACGGCCAACTTAACGTAGCCTGCTCTCGAGTCGGCAAACGCGAGGATGTGTTCCTTTATTCACCCTCGCAAAAGCTAAAAATGTGGTCTACACTGAAGTCCTCAGCCAGTGATACGCAAACTCCATTCCATTTTTCCTTTCCATGCAAGAAAATTGAAAAAAATTCGCAGTGTGAGATAGGCAAGAAGTAAAGCATGTAGCAACATCAGCACGGCAAAGGGCACTCCTTTAAAGGCAAGGAAGGGCAAAAATATTTTAAGTCGACAATTGCTGTATGAGTCGTACGATTTTTGAATCAAGCACGGGCAACGCCGGGCCATGCTGCTATTAATAAATAATTCTAATAAAAATACTTATACTTGCAGAAAATTTATAAAATAGGACCTAATAGATATAAAATGTATTTAACAATGAAGTTCTAAAATCTTATTTTTAAAATAACTGACATGAATACGAAAGCGAAAAACATAGCAATGAACCCATTACCTGCCATGAACGCCATTTGGGGATCTGTTAAAATTAAATTCACTACATGTTATTCCTTGTATTTACATTGAATTACTTACATACATTTCATTTGCAGAGGTATATTTTACAACACTTAGCCTTTAAAGTTTTTATTATTAGCCGTAAGAAGACACTTTCTGTCGTAATTTTACATTTCACGAGTAGAAAAATAATGATTATTTTGAAAAGATTTTTTTTTTTCTAATCAATGTTATGTTTTGATGTTTTATACACATATATTTTTGATGTTCTAGTTTCTATAAATTTTCAAAGTACCAGCTATTTGAAGAAAATTTTAATATTGTATGTTGTTCTTAACTCCTAAGACACCTGTCTGGGCCAAAAATGCGCATAAAAAAAATTTGGCAGTTAATGGGTTAAACAGAAATTAGATAACAGAATTAAACACTTAAAAAAAAAGACTAAAATACCATGTTGTTGATTGTAGATTTAGACCTACATGCTGAGCAAATATATTCCACAGAAATAACGTCGAAAAATTTAGACAAACTTATATCAGAAAAATGTTTCAATCTTAGAAGTCCATTAAATATAAACCAGTTGAAAAAATATAAAAACAACAACAATCAATTGATATAAAAAAAACAACAACAACCAAAATCAAAGATGCTTTTTAGATAGAACTTTTTATTCAAATTATGGAACATCCTGCACGTCATGTCGAAATCCAAACAACATCTCAGCAATCTACATTATTAAATATTCTAACACTCACTGTTTTCGAACAATACATTTATATGTGCCAGCAAGATACTTTTGACAAATTCGAGCAGCGTAGAATATTTTGGGAAAATAAAAAAAAAACGGAATATGTATTACCTCAGAGAAACAGCAGGCATAATAATAAATTAGAATAAATAATATAAAATAATACAAGCAAAATTAGTAGAAGGCGAAATATAGTTTAATGTAAGCCAAAATATCTAAATTAAATGAAATAAATGAGGCAAAATATTCTTGATAATTGATAAACGTTTCCCTAAAGATTTTAAGTCATATTAATAGAAATAATACGATAATTTGTGATAACTGGATTATTTGCAATTTGTATGTTTGTTGGAAAACATGGAAAATATAATAAAAATATATAACAAAAACCATTAATATTAACAATATGAACAATTCGAATAACAGTACTAGTATCAATAATAATATTTTTTGCATAGAAATAAAAAGAATATCCACATGAAAACAAAAGCATAAGCAGAAATATAATATATAAAGCTATTGTGAAAATTAATGCTAATTCAGAAGAGAAACATGACATACGAGCAAAGGAAACTCTAAAAATATTATAATCATGTTTTCAAAAGAAAAATAAGTTGATTACACTACTTTATCAAACTATATATGAGAACAAAAATACACTATTTACATTATTCGGACTATTGCCTCATCTTTGTCGCCATATTTATTACAACGTTTCGGCCGTTGTACGCCCCGGCCTTCTTTAGTTGATTGGAATGTCGAACTGAACCCTTTATTTCAGGTTGAGATTATAGACAAAGAACACCATTGGAAAATTCGTAACCTTAAGGAATCAACGCATATGCTAGGCTGCAAAAATCTCCTGAGCCGACCAAGCATAGAAATGAATACAATATGGGAACCAGTAATAAGGAGTGCCAGAGAAAAGGGATAATAACAACAAAAATTGCAATATGAGCTCTGGTAAAAAAATCATGCAATGATAACAGCAAAAATTGCAATATGAGCACTGGTAAAAAAATGGTTGCTGGTGACATTAGGTTTATAATACCCAGATATTCATGCACAGATGTCCTCAAGGACACATGGCACAATAGATAAAGGCGTTGGTTAGATCCAGTGACAGGACCCAAATAGTGTGAGAACTTGGGGAGGGGAATTAACAGGAGATAACTGACAACTGACATCCATTAAACATGGCATATGGAACTAGAGCATTCTACCTCAGTGACATTCAGTTCGACATTCCAACCAACTGAAAAAGGCCGGAGCGTACAACGTTGTAATAAATATGGCGACAAAGATGATGGCAATAGTCCGAATAATGTAAATAGTGTACCTAATACCTCATCTCAGAAATATAGATAGAACAAAAATACCTAAACCAACATTAAATGGCAAATAATAAAATGAAACCGCCCATGCAACGCTAATAATAAAAACTGTAAAATAAAATTACAAATTAATATTTTCAAAAATGAAAAGAAATTACTAAACAAATGTATGCAACCTCCTCATAGCGAATTTATTCTATAAAACCTTATTAAAATAAATAAAACTATTTTTAAAAAACTGAACTAAACAAATAAACAATTGTAATTAATCCGTATGTTTCATTTAAATAGTAACCCACGTTCAACATATAAACTTATATATAAGAAGTGTAATTAGGCTTAAATCGAATCAACCTATTTTAAGGATTGCGATTATATTAATTAGGAATATATGTAAATAATCAGTAAATATAAAATAAATATTAATACATAAATGTAGACATTCACTTGATATTCTATTATCATAGCGTCACGTTTTTAAAAGTACTTTTTGCTACTATATTTTGTTTTACTTGAATTACTTCACAAAAAACGATCGATGTCATTAAGATTGAATTTTCATATAATAGATGATTTAATTATAACTGAGAAAATTAAAAATTGTATCTACAACATCTGTTTGACGCCATGAACAGAATTATTTTAAACAATTTACTTCCTGATACAAATAACATTTTTTTCCTCTTGTTTATAATTTGTCTGCATCCGGGTGCAGTAAAAGATATTAATGATTTGTTGTGCTGTATTTTTAATATTGGCGTCGTTTCATTTCTGTAGGGATGACCTCATTTGATTATCGATGACTTAATTGGAAAAATTATTGTTAACCAATCATTGTTTACTATGTTTGAGTTCGCTAAAAAATATTTTCCAGTAAGAGAAAACTAGATGAGCCCTATTTTGTAAGTTTTTCATCACCGCTAATTTATATCATTGTGGGTATTCACTATTAGAATTAAAGAGGTTGAATTTCATCTTAAATTTGATATTGCTCAGATTAGAATTTACCACCCTTAGGATTTATTTTATTAATTTTAGTTAATGTATAGGTTATGCACTTTTCTCAGTCCGCCTGCTATTTTTGATAAAGGTAGGGGTGGTATTGTTTCGTGACCTCACACGATATGTTAGCTCCCCTCAAACGACCAAAAGGGGAAGGCAGATAAGA